ATTTTTTTTGCGAATACGTACGGTCAGATATATATTATTCTAAAGAAAGGTGAATATGACGTTATATTACCCTGTGGGTTCTCAAAGCCAGTAATCTTTATGTTAATCTTTCAGATAATCCAAATTGACGACAAAACATTGTTTTGGGGTTTACTACAGACTCAAAGAGTAAAGCTTTCGAAAAGCCTATAGAACATGAGGCCCGTTTAGGGTATGGATTCCCACAATCTGTAACACATAATGATCTCAGGACAGGACGCTTTGTTGTTGACGACACCTGGCTCATTGAAGTTAAAGTAGATTCACCACCAAGAAGATTCGTTTTCGTGGTGACAGTATTTTGACAGGCAACTTTGGAATTTTCTTGTTTTTATCAATAAAATTTACTTTTATGCTGTTCAGGTTGTTTCATTGTTAGGACTTTTTAGTCCATTGATTTTAACTAGCTTTGAGTCGATTTCTTTTTTTGAAAATAAAAAAAAAGCAAGATGTCTGGATTTACGGACGTAAAAATTTTGGACGTTTCATTTTCGTATCTCGAGCAGTGTGTCAACTAAAATTCACTCCAAAAAAAAGAGCTGCGAAGCTGCTTTAAAGTTTTAAATTGTACTCTAAATATTTCGGATGCTTAAAATGTTCGGAAGGTTTTATTTTCGAACACTGTTTTTGTCCAAAAATAAAACAACAAGAAACCCAATTTAGATCCCCACTTTTTTTAGCGCTGTGCTTTTAACTATGTTATTGACTTTTAATTTAAATTATTGATCTGGCAAATTTTAATTATGGACCTCAAGAACTGGTTAGCTGATCCTTTAGAGTCAGTTAGAATTGTTTCCCCTCTATTCGATTCGAACTCATCCTAGTTCTCAAGTGAAAATACTAATATTTAAAGATGATTTCTAGTTCGTATTACACACTCTCGAGAGCTGGAGTTTGTTTACGATTCTTGTATTGACTCATGCAAGACGTCACAAACTGTAACATTTCGAAACTAGTTACATGAAGTGAATTCAAAGTTTCATGTCTCAACCGTCATTATGGATGCGAAGTTTTGTGCTTCGTTCAGTTTCTGACAACACTTGATTAAACGACTTCATAGCTGTAAAAATCCAAGAAACTGCTGGAAAAAGAATTTAAGATACCTCAAAGATAAGGTAAGCGGTTCGTAACGAATAACATCGATTCGCACGAGTGAGACTTACGGACATTGGGGTGCTGAGAGTGTGCAATACGGACTGGGAATCATCTTTAAGGAACAGAAGTCGAATCTTTACGAATTCGTAGTTTAATAAATTTTGCAATATTTTCTCTACTTTGTAATGTGAATAAAACCCGAATGACGTAGTTTTAGTCTTTTACAACTGCAGCTATAGAAGTATACATTTACATAATTATCAAGTTTAACACTTTACGGCATGCATTAATTCTGATGAACTTGTCATATTACTTTGTGAAGTTTGGTGATGATAGTGAAGTAAATGGGAGATTTAAACAGTGGGTAAATATAATCGTCTGTAGATATAAATGTATTAATTAAAGAAATGTACACACCAAAATTGAGCATAAAATAAAAGATAGATGTTGATAATTGTTGTCATTATTTTAATTTACCGATGAATCAGTTAACTAGCGTACAATTTGGGTGACCGTTACCAGGATGAATCATGCATAGTAGAATTTAAAAACGTTTTCTGGCTAAAAATCTTATACAAATGCTAGCTTTCGGTTGCCTAGCCTTCAGTTTAGGCAGTCGAAAGCTCGTGTAACGATACTTTCAGCCAGAGAACGTTTTTTAATTCGCTAACGTACAATTGTTGTAGCTCAAGCACATTAAATAATGAAATGATTGATTGATTGATTGATTGATTGATTGATTGATTGATTGATTGATATATTGGTTGATTGATTGTATAAACATGGGGGAGAGGGAATGTCTTTGCACGGGCTTGACAAGGTTGTCTTGTGAGCGGTTGACCATTCACAAACAGCCACTCACTTAGGTATATAACTACTCCAGTCATTTTTGACCATCAACACAAGCTGCATAAAGAATCCGCAAAACACGGAATGAGAAAAGATGTGAGATATTTATGCAATGGTTAACAATTTAAAAGAAGTTGATGCTTTAAAGGAAATCCCGGGAGTTCATACAATAGCATGGAATAATTCCAAAAACTTTTATGTATCATTGAGATATATGTCCGAATAGCTTTTTACATAGCATGTCACTCCCGCGCTTTCAGCGTTCCTATTGCTGACCGATGACTGTTGTGAATATTATAATAGAATCAGTTTCCATCTTATTTTATATGATCTCTTTAGTTCACTGCTATTTATTTAAAGAGGTGCGTTATGTTGAATTGGCCTACACGGCAACGTTTGAATTTTATCTTTTGCCCCTCCGGAAAACAGCGAAGAAACAGTTGGCTCAGACCTAATCAAACTGAAAAATGCTGCATGGATCTTAATTTTCACAAAGCGGTATAAAACATATAAAAAATAAAATAAGCTTTCTAAGAGAAACACTCACTACCGTTATCAACCTAATTCTCAGGGATTCTCTTCTTTTCCTCCTCCTCCTCCCTCTCAGTCGCTCTTGGAGCTATATGAAGAGAGATCCTAGAAACGAGGTTGTACAGTTATTATGAAAATTGGCGGCTAATAAATAAAACGTGGATGGCGAGAATAAGAACCCAGATCGCGTGAGAAATGTGGAAACGTAGGCTCTCAGAATGACCCGATCATGTGGTATAACATAACATATGCTGAGCCTCAAGGGACAAACAAACTGAAGTCGGAAACTCGCACCAGTCAAACTCGGATTTGTCTGCTCTAAATGCCCCATGCCACCGCGCAGCTTCTGACTCAACATGGCTGATTTTGCGCCACATGACTAGGTCGTGAAAAAGGTATATTATTCTCATTATTTACTGTTACAAGGTTCAGCAAACAACTCTGGGAGACGTTCTATATGGCACTTACGAGGAGGCCTGTCCTACCTTTTCTCTCAGGGGAGGGGGGAGGAGGTGTTGAAAATCACATGCCACCCGGCCCCTCCCCTCTTCTACTCTAGACAACTTTAAGATTACGCAATTACTTTTCCTAAGGAGGCGTACTCCAGGCTCGTGGACAGGTTCCAATATGTTCAAAGGGCGACAGCACTATCTAAGGTGCAGCTAACTAAGATGTTAGTTGTCTGAAAGACTTGACTCACAAGAAAAAAAAAAAAGCATTTTCATTCTCACACGGATGAAAGAAATTCAAAGGTAATTTTAGAATTGAAGCTTGGGGGAAAATGGACATTGATCCAGGTACACAGCTTTCAAATTTCATTTGTGTTACATAATGGTACATATATTATGCAAACATACAATTCATTACGATAAAACAAAAGGAAAATAACGTCAAAAATCCATGAGATCTGTGTCCAATAATCACTTGAAACTATGGCAAGATAATTATTGGATGACGTTGAGCAAAATATCGTGATTTGTCAGTGACGTGCAGATCAATTACTTCGGCTGAAGGAAATAATTGATCTGCGAGACATTACAAATCGTGATATTTTGCGAAAACCGAGTTCAATAGACGTTTTATCATTCGTCACCAAGCTTGTTTCATATTTTTATTAAATCCATTTTAAAATCACTGGTTATCCTTGCAATCTGATCGGCTCTCAGTACTGCGATTTATTTACGAGTCGCACTATTTTTTGCTCTAAATGGCATCTTTTTCTCAGCCAATGAGAATGGGAGAGTAAAACAAAACAACCAATCAGATTTCAAGGTTAGTATAAAGTAATCAATAAAATTTCAGGAAAATGAAAGGCAAAAAGCGATTGTGTGCAGAATTTTGCAACTACTATTGCCAAAACTTTGTTGTCATTGTTGTTTTTTTCCAAAAAAATTTACGAATTTAATTAATTACAGTTTCTGAATTAAGATTATGAGCTCCTTCAAACTGAAGACCTACTTTAATGGGTTTCCAACTTTCAGTGTTTATTTTGACGAATATTTTGGTGATTTTTCTTCAAGGTCTGGCAGTCGTCTGCTCAAGATCCGTATGATACCGAGTCCAGTAAACCATAAACAAACGAAAACCACGCAACTACAAATCCAGAGCCATCTCAAGAAGGTAGATGGTTTCCGGTATAGTTTCAAACGAAGCAACACAAGAGCTCAACTCTGTCGCTGTGAATAATCTTAGTCAAAATATGCCACACTACACAAAACAGTTAATGAACGAACGTTTTACGAAGCTGGTGCCAGTCCCGCCATCTTGAAAATATCTTAAAACAAATGGCGCCGCAAGAACTTGACAAGGTCCTCAGTATTGAGTTCTACGCCGAGGTCACAAAAAAAGGAGATGATAACGTGCTGGACTCCCTTAAAATCATGCCATTAAACGGTATTTAAAAGAAAAAAAAAAACGTACTATCCACTGGGCATCGCGCAGCGTTACAAAGGATGCACCTTCAAATTCCTTCTCCAAAGACGACGGAAAGTCTCAGAAGAAAGGAAAGCCTTCCATCATTGATTCAGGCGCGAGAATTGAACTTTTATGCATGGAAGTACACAATTTTCGTTCTGACTTTAGAACGACTTGTTTCTTTGTCATGCTCGAATGAGTTTTCGTCACATGACATCGTTTTGCATACTAAATGAGACGTAAAGGCGTTCCTGGTTCCGCTATTTTCAACAAACCGGCTACTGGAACAATACACCATAATCTAGAATTTAAGGCGATAAAATTGTACGATTTCAAAATGGATCTAATAAACTGGAAATGGAACTTCGTGTCGTGCAATTTTGGTCGTTCGATTTTTAAATCACGCGTATGATTTCAGACCTAACAATATACAAGCAACAATTTTGCAGTCTGATTGGCTGAGAACATGTCAATTAATCCCAAATCAGTGATCTGTGCAATTTTACCAGTGCAAAAAAGTGAAATTGAGTGCAAAAGGGTGAAATTGAGTGCAAAACGGGGAAATTAAAAATGATTGACAGCTCCGACAAAATTGAGCTGGGACAAACAAAATGCCGGACAAAAATAAGATTAAGATTGAAACTCTTTACCTAAATTTTAATCCCATGGTAAAAGATGTCCAGCAGTAGCAATTAAATGAGAGAATGAAAGATGCGAATGCAGCCATAACACTACTGGAAAAATTACCTGAAAAAGATTTAGGCTCTGAACGGGATTCGAACCCACGACCTTTGCGTTACCGGTGCAATGCTCTACCAACTGAGCTATCAAAGCCACATGAGAGCGGTCGTGTGTGAGTTCGGCCCTATATGTTCAGTGGACGTAATACTCGGCTCACCGTATGAATTCCATGGTAATAGATGTCCAGGTCATTTTTCCAGTAGTGTTATGGCTGCATTCACAATACACAATATATCCCATCTGTACCACTGAATACTCGAGGTCGTGATTTACGCAAGGTTTAGTTTGACCCCAGGAAACTTTCACTTTCAACATGGCGGAAGCTCCCAGAAATCGGCTACCTTTGGGCTATGACGAGGACTTTGTGAGTACAGTTGAAGATGATTTCTAGTGCTTGATACGTCATTTGCCGCTCAAGGAACCGTTTTTAACAAGATGCGGTCACAGGTTTTGTAACGAATGCCTCGAGGAACATTTTTTACCACCTCTTAGGCTTCAATGTCCTTTGATCTAATATATGTAGAGCTTTCGTTATAGGCGTCGTTATTTCTATTAGTGGAGCAAGCATAAGCTTAAGAACAAGACAAGATAGAAGCGATCTTGTTCATTCGGTGCTTACTGTTGTGTTTTCCAGCTGTTTGTTTGGATTGTTATGCTTATGATTAAGTATGCGTGCTTCTGTTTGATTCGCCAATGAAAACTGGGCTTACTTAGGTTACTATAACATATTTTAACTTCTTGTAATTGTCTTTCCCGATTTCGTTACGTTAAGAGAAGAGAGGAAGCTATTCAGTGGGGAGATATGAATTGGATAAAAACATTCATCCGTGAGTCTGTCTGTGTTCAGTCTCGCGGCTTATGGAAATGTAACCGTGAGCTCATTGAAGGGTATCAAGATGAGATGATAATTGACGTCCAGCTTTCTGCTTCACTAGATGGCAGAAGTGGTTTGAATGCTAATGTTCAGTTAGCTATGATAGTGGTTGTTAGTGAAAGCAATTAATCGGGCATGAAGCAGTTAAACTGGATTTACTTTTACAAAGGATATCTCCTAACGACTTTTCTTACATCTAGATCTTTTAATAAGTTTGGCCATCCCCCCCTTTTTTTTTTTTTTTCGTTTATTGTCGAATGCGTTTTCTGATTTTGGGTTGGTCGGTCGGAAAAGGAAAAAAAAAAAATAAAAAAATAAAATAAAATTGGAAAAGGAGTCTGGAGCTACGAGGCCCGGTACCTCAGCATAATATCCGTAGAGCCTGGAAACAACAAGGTGTGGTTACAAAGTCAACATCGCGGCAATGGCGGAAGGAAAAAGTCGACGCCGTTGTTAAAATCAAACGAGAACAGGGAAAAACTAAAAATCTGTAGGGCCATTTGGGCCAATTGTCTCATTTTAGCCTAAACAGCTTACATCAGAGAAATATCTCATTTGGCCCAGCTGGCTCAAATCACACAACCGTCTCATTTGGCCCAACCAGTTCAAGCCGCACAACTGTCTCATTTGGCCCATTAGAGGCTCAATTCACACAACTGTCTCATTTGAAATACATTTGAAAAACTCAGAAATACGGAAACATGTGATTTCGTCCTGTGGTTGTTAAAATCAAACGAGAACAGGGAAAAACTAAAAATCTGTAAGGCAAAAAATTGCTTATGTTTCAGATTAAAGTGACAATTGTTTGAAATAATGTG